TTGGCACGCAGTTCCCCAGGCTGACCGGGTCAGCACATCAAGGTCCCTTCTGCATCAGGCACTGCTGGCTCCGCGTAGTGGCAGCTGGCTTAGCCGCAGTGAAGCTAGAGTTGTACGAGGGAAATGAAAATTAAAGCCTTGTAGGTAGGAGGGCCAGCTGCTGACCAGGGCCGCTGCTCCTCGTTGTGGAGATGCAGTATCTCTTCTGCTGGGAACGTGCAACAGCAGCACACTGTGCGTTGTGGCTTCTGCCTGCGGGAGCATTGCAGTGGAAATCACTTTTCTTTCTTCCTGATGGAAAGCATAGACCTTAGCACGAGGCCAGACACTGCTCCTGATTTTCGCCTGTTTTTCATCACCGTGCTGAGCAGTGGTTCCTGCTAACCAAGCTTCCTGCCAGTCCTCTGGGTCTCTGCTGCCTCCTCTCTCCATCTCCTGCGCTCTCTTCTTTTTCCAGCCTCCTTCCAGCAGCAGCCCCAGCTGCAGTAATTGAAAGTAATAAAAGCCTAGGAAAGCCTGTTAGGTCGAGCAGTACTCCTTGACTGACTTTTGATGTTGATGCGTCTCAGTGATTGGGAACTACTGATTTTAGGGGGCTTTTTTAAACACTGAAATAATCTGAGGAATATTGTCTGCTTATGCGTCTTGTGGCCTTTTCCCCTACTGCTGGTAACCAGTTTGAACATGGTATGTCCTGCTTCTCTACTTTTTTTTTTTTAAATATCTCAGTAACGTTCTTGGCCCTGGGGAAAATGGAAATGATAAAAATTAATTCTTACTGGATTGTTTGTTTGAATTTCAAGATGTTTTGCTGTTTCAGATACGTTACAGTGACAGTAGCAGGATCAGGAGGCCAGGTTAATCCAAATTGGCTTGCAAACACTTGTAATTTGGATTTGGAGAAAAATTATTCGGCTTAACATGGCTAATACATTCATGGTGTAAAGTTGGTGATAATAAGTTCTTCAGATGTCTAGACATGTGATTACACTAAGTGCGGATAAACTAAATCTTCCGTGCATGTGTGGCATGTAGAAACCGCAGTACTTGGCGGGTGTTAGTGTAGCTGGAGTGACCTCTGACTTTTCTATCTCACAGAAATAGTCGTGTTTAGTATGAAGAACTTTTAATTTTAGATTACTAATGATCAGGGTTACTTTTACACCTCCCCACCCCCCAAAAAACCCGAAACCAACCAAACGAATGAAAACAAAACAGTGAATGACCATAAATTCTGATGTGTTTTGAAGGTTACCAGTCCCAACAAGTTTCACTTTCTGGTACAAAATTAGCCCTGGTTAACTATATTTTGACTTGCTTTAAGTTGACAAATGCTTCAGCATTGGTGTGAGTACCTTTGGTAAGTCTGCTGATGTGTGCTCTTCGGTCTTGAGGGTAGCTCTGCGAAACAGCTTCAAGTAACGTAACCCAGCAATTTAGAATAAAGAGGGTTTCATGCATCAGAAGCAGTTTGGATAATGGGCAGGGGAGGAGTGGAATTACACCAGCTAGACTTTGAGCCCGGGGACTAAATTTGTGAATTCTTATTCTGCTGAAGAATGACATTTTTAGGTTGGTCTTCAGGAGCTCGAACTTGTACGTTTTGTTCTGCTTAAGGCAGAGCTTTTCAGTGAGTTTGTCAAGGTGGTTCATGTGATTTGGATGTTTCAGCCGGCTATGCCAGGCAATGCTCCTTTTCTTGAGATGGCGGTCAAGATAGTTTCTTTCTACCCAGGAGATTCCTGCGTTTGAGGGAGAGCATGCTATAGTGAGCTTTAAAAACAACAACAAAAAATCACCCCTGTGCAACTCTATTATGAAAATTTAAATTGTGAAATTCATGAAAGGGCGGTAAATAGGCTCTGCTGGCTGGCGCAAAACTATTATCAGACTCTGGCGGGCCATGGGTGTTTCACTTTTGCAAGACTATGCTCATCCTTTCTATTCCTACAAATGTCCCAGTTGAGGCAGCTACTGATTCTTTGCAGTGAAAGCAGAAGTTGAGGTAGGTTGGTTTTCACTTCTGGCCTTGACAGAAGCTAGGGCCAAGTTGAGCAGTGTGCGAGGCAAGCCCTCTCCTGTTTGAAAGGTGACTCTTAAGCTTCCATTTGAAATGAAAAGGTAGGTTTCTGATTATTTTTCTTACGGAGAGTGAGTTAGGCAATGATTAAGAGGAGAGGAGTTTGTAAAAGATCAGAGTGCTTGGGAGCCATCACTTTCTCGTTGCCTTTCTGATAAGGACCTGCTTTGAGACACTTTCAGTGGGCTTGATGGACAGATTAATTACAGCCATCCCAGTGCTGTATTATTTCCTTTTTGTCTTCATCTCAGTTTGGCCTTCCCATCAAGCAGACTGGGTGGTCATTGGTCAAAAGGGGAGGTAGCTGAGTAACATGAAATAATTTGTTGTCTTGGGCCCTGTACACCACTGAGAAGACGACCCTGCTCTTCTTATCCCAGCTCTAGCACCGACGTGCTTGGCTATAGCTACTTGGTCTTTCTATTTCTGTTTTTTCACTTCCCCAATTGTAAACGGTCACCTGCCTTCCAGTGAGGTCAATAGGGGGAAGCTCGCGAGCGAGTGGTAAGAGACGTTGAAGTGGAAAGGGGCAGCTGTGGCTCGGTTATTGTCCTTCCATAACACGGCCCGTAGAACTTCCCTGTGTGTAGCTGAACGCTGTGGTGTCCAAGCGAGTGCCCTGCCTCAGTTGAAGTCGTTTTGAAGTGCTGCATGCCAGCATTAATATACCAGCACGTACAGCGTCCTAGCGCTTTCCTGTTGGAGGGTGTTGCCCCTTGCAGAAGTTGTCTAATCCTGGCAGTGATGTCCAGGCTTCTAGTGGCAGCAGGAGCTTGGCAGTGACTTGCATAGGTTCACTGCTTCTATTTTATGATTTAGTTCAGCTGAACCCTGAGGCTCATCTGCTTAAAAATCGTGGGCCAGACTTTTGTGCAAGTCCAGCTCCACCAGTAGCAAAGCCAAGTAACCCAGTCTATTGGAAGCATATCTGGAGGTCGATGCCAGATCCCCAAACTTCAGAACATAAGCTTGTAATTCTAGTGGTGCTGACATTTGTGGGAAGGCTTTGTTTTAATCCTTCAGATGTTAGCTAGTGTATGTAATTAACTTGGTATAGTTTTGTTTCAGGATGAAATATTTATTTAAAAGAGACTGGAAAACAAGTGATGTGTTCAGTGTCTGGGTAGCAAGTGATATTACACAGAACAAGGCATATATTTATTGTTTGAGAGATTGGTTTTGCAGCAGCTCCTGTTCGTTACTATAGTACACAGAAGGTCCCAAAGGCTTTTACTGCCCATCATTTCCCAGGTCTCTTGAGTAATCCAGATATAAAACTTGCTGATGTACGTTAACGATGGAGAAAGGAAGAACAGTATGAAAATACTCTAGCCTACAGTGCTCTGGTTTTCCAGTTATACCAACAGACAAATGTAAAACTTTATTTTGTATAGCAGGTTTTCTGAAGTTCAGTAATAAATCTTGTGACCAAAGCAGGAGCAGAACTGATGCTGCAGAGATAAAACAGAGTTTTCTTTTTTCCCCAGAGAAGATTTAAGGGAGGAAGTTAGGGAAGTAATTTAAAAACAAAGGGTAGCTTGCAGAAGGTAGAATGTCGAAGACCCTCCCCTGAGCCGAAAAGAGGGCTGAGTGTTTGCTGAGAGAAACATTCATGAAAGTTTAGAAATAAAATATTCCTATTTGAATAAACCGACTAGAATACATGGAACACTGGAACACACACGTTATACGTGGTATCACGTGTAATTTCTCTAGCCAGTTCCTGTTTGCCTCCCCCCCTCGTGAAGTTCACTGGCCATATCTGGTCTCTGACAGTCTGTTACGTATTTAGTTTCTAATGCTGCAGCTCGCAAAAGGAATTGATTCTTTCTAAGCTTTGAATTTTATCGTCTCCTTGAGAATCATCCCAAACATCAGAATTCCAGTTCTGATAAAGCATAAACTGTTTGCCTCAGAGTCCAGATTGAATTTTCAGAGTTTATGGTCAGAAGAAACAGCTGCTTGTTTGAAAGGTGTGTGCACATGATACCGAATCAGCGAAACCAGCTGCACACAGATGTCCTGTCACACTTCTGGCTTTTTAGATTGTATCCAGGGAGGACCATTTAAGGGTAGAAATACTGATCTATTGATTTGCTGTTGGTTTCAAGATACTGCAGGGTTGCTCTGATAGTCTGCTCGTTTCTGTGAGTTAGTAAAGTTATTCCATATTTCGCTTTAATTGGTGAAATAGGGTTGGAGGAGATTCACAATTAGCAGATTTTTGCATTATGAGAAAGGATGGGAAAACTTTGTAGTTGCGCACAACGGTAGGGGGAAGTTCTTGTTCAGGTTGGTTTTGCTTTTGTTGTCAAGATGGCAAATAGGGCTGAGTGAGATGACCAACACCTACAGAAAGTGTCCCACTTTCAGGGGAAACCTCTTTTTTTAAAAAGGGTAGCCACAAGGCTACCCCTAACATTGATGTGTCATCTCTGGTCAATCAGAGATATTGTGTGGGGTGACCTGAGAGAGCTTTGCTTGCTGTTGTGCTCCTGCTCACCTTGGGCAGCACACTAAAATTATATTTATATGTTACAATGTAAAAAGAGGGAAAGAAAAGAAACAGATACAGTGACCCATGAATTCCTTAGTATATTTTGTTTCAAGTAGGCTTGGAAATGACAGAAAAATGTCCATTCTTTTAGGTAGTTTCACTGGGCTAATCCCCATGTTTTTGTCCCCAGAGGTGTGTGCTTGTGCTGAGATCATGAATATTCTCCCCTTCTCTTTTGAAAAGCTTGTCAGAGGTCAGTTGGTGGCTACGGAGTTAGTTGGTTTAATTGACGTGAGTCACGAGATTAACACATCCCAGAAAGACTTCCAGGATGGTCAGCAGCTGATTATTTTGGGCCGTAATCTTTCAATTAACTGAAATATATAAAAAACTGTAAGTGTTACCCTCCTAATTTGTGTTTAGATATACGTGGCCTGTATCCAGCTGTTGCGTACCTGCAGAAATGGGAGATGTGGATAAGAGGATTGTATTGAAAGAACTACCCTGCTCCCTCCCCCAGTGCGCTCAGTGAATTACACAGCTGTATGCCGCTTACAAAAAAACTTTTCTGCACACTTAGGTATGGAAATACAAGCACCTACTAATTCTCATTTCAGAGAGGCTTTCATATTGTGCAGTGTTTTTGTTGATCTCACTTTATAGATGCTTCTGATTTTAAAAATTAGTCTAAGCCGCTTTCTGATCAGTGACTGCTTGTCTAGAACAGTGACTTGTAAGCAGGCTGATTTTCACTTGGGGTTGATCTTTTTCTTATAAAAATGATAGCTGTAATAAGAGTCACAGTGTTAATTCACGTTATGGTTTAGAACTTGTTCTATGGCAGCCAAAACAGAATTATAATTGAAGCAGATTGTTCCCTGCATTTTTTTTTCCTATTAAAATAATAATACCCTTTATTCTAATAAATGTATTGTGTGGATGATATGTGCTTAATGCTTTTCATAATGATGCACGTGTACCCTTCTTAGTTCTGCACATTTGTGGGGAGCCGCAGACATTTAGTTGGGAGCCTGCTGTTCTCGCCGTAAGAGGCAGTGAGCTCTGACGCTCTGTGCTGATGCAAGACTAATTCATATTATTTTCATTAAGTGTTTAGCTCTGTTAATCTTATTTGCTTTGAAGCACAGAACGTATGGTGCTGAGCTCTGCTTCTGGCTTAACGCAGCGCAAGTTCAGCGCTCTTGGACAAATAGACGCACCATGATGAAGTGCTCTAATTTTTCAAGGGGAAAGTGTGATTAATGAAGTGAATAAGTGCTCCGTGATTCAGTTTCATTGAAAGAACTGCACAGATATTGGTGCAAGGTAGATAAAAGATTTACCAAGTGAAGCTTGTAATAACTGTTTGGAATATATGTCGATTTTGCTCAAAATACTTGTTTTGTTTTTTCTTTCCTCTTGCAGTTTCTTGCACGGCCAACTATTTGAAGCCGACAGAATTTTTCAACCCCTTTGTTTTAAAGGACCCTGGCCTGTCTTCTGCAGCTCAACTCCCTTCACTCCTCGTTTTGGTGAACACAGGATCCTAAGCGGAGAATGAGGCAGCTAAAAGGAAAACCCAAAAAAGAGACCTCCAAGGATAAAAAGGAGAGAAAACAGGCGATGCAAGAAGCTCGACAACAAATCACCACTGTGGTGCTTCCCACACTGGCTATTGTAGTAGTGCTGATTGTTGTATTTGTTTATGTAGCAACACGTCCAAATACAACTGAATGATGCAGCTTTTCAGACTCTCTAACTTTGGGGTATTAATACTTTATCAAGAGCCAAAAGAAACTCTTTGCCACTCTTTTAATATTTTACAAAGGAACTTGCTGTTATCTTCAATCTTTCTCTTCGTTAGGGTTCTACAATTTCTCTTTAGGAATGTAACATAAAACGTATTAGTGAATGAGCCAGTACGTTTTATGGTCCAGTTCATGATGTGCCTTTCAGACTTTTAAAATGGTGTTTTTCTTAAATCTGTTTGAAGTTCTATATTGTAAAAGGAAATTCTGTTCTGCCATAAATTTGTAAAAATCAGCTTTCAGCTGTTATCACTGTTGTGGATAATGTTGCTCCCCTGAGCTCTTGTATGTCTATTTCAGAACTTCCAAAGAAGTACATTTCTTCTTTGTACTTAATGTCATATGAAATGCTTTGAATCAGAAAGGATATATTTATTTTTTGAATAAAGGAGATAAGTCTTACTTGGAATCTTCATCTCATTTTGCAAAAAATGTGACTTGTTGTGCAAGCCTACATCATGTAATAATTTTTTCATTAAACACTATAATATAGTTCACTTGAAAATCATTTCTTTTTGCTGTGAGATGTGAACATTCAAAGTGAACACTGTAGGATCCAATAGAAGGAATCTTACAGAAGTCAGAAAGGAAGGCTCCACCAGTTTATGGTAAGGTAGCTAATAACAAATTACATAAATTTACAAAGAGTTGTTTATATGAATGTTAAAAATTTAAATCTGTAGAGCAGCAATAAAAAAGTGGATTTGGGCACAGCCACTTGATTTTCCGTTCATAAAGGAAGAAAATGTGGCATTAGCATTATTTAGGACTCTAATCTCTTTAAGTGATTTGATGTTCTTTAATCCCCCCTCTGCAGTTACAGGAAACTGTAAATGCACCTTATGTTGTTTTATTTTAGGAAATCAAACTATAAATATAAATTTTGATAAAATCCTTCAATAATCCTGTATTCTTCTCTAGTCCTTTTTCATGCAGACATTTTAAGGCACTGAGTAACCATTAAGCCTCAGAAGACTTTTGACAGGGAATTTGAGAACTCTTTATTGCTGCTTAAATACAGGCCAAATGAGAAAGAATATGATGCTACAACGCACAGAAGTGTAGCGGGAAATATTTCTGTACAGAAAGTCAATGAGCCTTTAATCTTCACTTCATGTGCTTGTCTTTCGGCACATGAATAGTCCCAGTGAAGTCAGTGGGACTGTTCTTATATGCTTGCTTTCTGCATTAACCTTGGGTATTGTTCCTGTGTGGAATGCTATTTTTAACCAAAGTTGTTTTGCAGAAAAAAGAATTTAGGCAAGCAAATTCTAGTCCGTGAACTAGACTTTGGCCTAAGGCACGTGTTCCCAAAGTGAGGTGGGTCTATGTCCAGCTATAAACAAATTGCTTCAGACTGAGACGTGTACCAAATTACACTAGGAGGGCCACAGCTAATGATACAGGCTGTGCCAGCACTGCTATTGGTACTGCTTAGGATTAAACTGACCCCCTGGATTGGGATGTTTTTGAAATATGCCAAAATATATGCTAAAAACTAAATTGAAGACCTGGGATAAATTGTTAGATTTCTTTGTCCCCAACCTGCAATGCAGTTGAACTATATGCACAACAAACTACCCAGACACAATGGTCATCGTGATATTTTTGGAAGAGTGTTTACCTTCTGAGTGACCACCTTGAACTCTAAAGCGGAACTCCACTCTCCAAGCCGTATACTATTATTGAAAATTATCTATGCTTCTGTAGTGAGGGCTGCTTCCATGAAGTAGAGAGATCTAAAATGCTGCTTCTATGAAGGTAATTGTTTATTCTGTTATCTTCTTGTTGTTTGTTCTCCCAGGCAACACAATTTTGTGCTGTTTTTCTTTTCTCCTTGGTTAGGGATGACTGCAATTGAGATACGGTAGTTTGTCTTTTTTTTTTTTTTTTTTTGATAAAAGGCGTTCAGCTTGAATAGGATTTGTGCCTGAAGAAGGGAAGAAATTTAAGTGTAGTGTAAATATGCTTGTTGTGCAGCATGCTTGGTTTCTTGGGCATCTAGAATAGAAACAAAAAGTTTCCTCTAAGAAAATGACCTGAAATTGGAATTCTCCTTGCGCTACCATAGGTTCCTGAGGTTTTCCTATCCCTGCTTATTCTGTGCTGTTCTTTCTGTATGCTCTCACAAAGTCCCTGTGACTTTCCATCTCAGAGTAGTAGGATTATTTCAGTCTGTTCTATCTGTAGGGCATTTTTTACCATCATAAGCAATAGCATTCCAGATTTGCAGTGCTTCCCCTGACCCTCATCAGTTGTTATGCAACTTTCCTTCATATTCTCCAAGAGTTGAGTGTGTGACACACAAAAGCAATTAAGAGGCTGATTACAGATAAATAGCTAAAAGGTCACTTGGGCTAGATGATATTTAACACTACATCACTAATCAGTTGTTTCGCTTCTTTTGCCCTTCATTTATCTCTTGTCATCTGCGTGTTCTTCAGGTCACGATGGTCATCTGTTTGGAGCCAAGTGTTTACTAATGCGAACCTATAGCTAAAGCTAACGAGACACTTTGTGTATTTCGATTCTCTGAAACGTGCAGTTCTACTGAGTACTAATTTGAGAAGAAAAGTGTTAAACATACTGAATGGTTCGTTATGCAGAAGTTAGTTAGAATTAATTTCACAGTCTTAATCTTTAAAATAGAAGAATGAATATAGTTTTCTCTAGTAAACTATGGAGTTGGATTCTGACATTTTTTACCATGTTCCCTTTTGTTAGTATCAGATGTGAGAACACACATTCAGGAAAAAAAAAGTATGAAGCTGCTGTAGACAGAAACTGTCAAAAATCACTGGGAAATAATCAGGAACTAAATTAATGGCAGTTGCCCAAATGTGAACTGTTCTGAACTTCTCAGCCAAAGGTATAACTGTGTCTCTGGTTTTTAACTGTATGTATTACTCCAAGTGTCAGTTAACTTCAAAAGTGTTTTAGAAATAGGGTTTCAAACTGTTTTCCAGCATACAGTACCTTGTGGGCAAAATTGAATGATTTATTACAAGCATTTTTACCAGAAGGTTCATGCTGAGATACTTCTTCAGCAGTGTCTTAACGATATGGTTTTCAATCGTGTTCATTATCAGGTGAAGTCATTATAAACCTGCCATTGCCTTCTGATAAGTTATAGAAGCAATTTATTAAGACCAATTTTTCAAAGCATAAATCTGAGTCAAATACTTAAAGATCAAGGTTTGAATGGAGATTTTATAAATGTCTTTGAAGTGCAAAGAAAATAAAGGAATTGTGTCAAGCATTCTTACAATGGATAAATAGCTATCTCTATTAGAAATGGCCCCTTACTCCCCAAAACTGTATAAGCCAGTGACACTGCAAGAGGTCTGAGGGAAGAACTATACATATTTTCAGATGTTAGAAAAACTCACTATCAGTCTTTTTCAGTGAAACTGTGTGAGCATGTTTACTTACTCAAATCCTAATTTTTGGAAAATAGCACTTTTAACTACATATCAGAGGAGAAACGCAGTTCTTTTTTTAAAAAAAAAAAATTATGCTAGGTGCCTGAAGAATTATGCTAGGTGCCTGGATAATATGTATACAGGTTTGAGTGCTCCCACGGCTATGGAAGATCTGAGCTAAAGTCTGCACTCTGATTCTGTGCTGTGGACCTGCATCATGGAGAATTTTCTTATCAGGAGACTATTGGGCATGTAGATCTAGTTTACATGGGTACATAGTGCACCAGGAACACGAAGTCCTTACCATCCAAATTCCAGCTGTTTTCATCATAACTATAGATTCAGTTGCTCAGTTGATGCTGTCTTCTATTCACCACCTTTATTTGTACACAGTGGAAAAATACCAACCAAAAAAAAAATTCAGGAATCTCGTTATCGTACCCAGGACTTCTGTAGAATTTCTTGCTCCATCTTGGATTGTAGAAGGATTTAAGTCAAGCCAGGTAAATTCAGAGTCTGTCACAGAAATTCAGTGACTGGATGGTTTAGAACTGTTCTCTGCACACAAAATAATTAGGCCATCCTAATACATGTGGACAAACATCTATTTTGGAGAAATCCGTCTCAAAGCCTCCAGCGTTCTGGCTAAGAGTAGATTAGAGGAACAAACCAGTTTGTTAGTATAGAAAGTGTGAATGGAGGGCAAGGCCTAGGGGACTTAGCTCAATCCAATTGGGGAAATTTAGAGGCAGTACATTAAATTGCAGCCTATTTATAGCCTTGAGGGTGTCCAGGTGATAAATAGCAGACTTAGGTATAGTGCATAAGCAACTTTGAGATTTGAATCTTGCAGTGAGAAAAACCAATAGGCAGTTCCCATATTGGGCTTGGCTAATTCAAACGAGCCCTGCTACGAACAATCTTTAATCAAGCATTTTCTAAGCAGAGACTGCTGTGTCTGAGTAGAAAAACCTCACTAGCACAAGACAGTTGATGTGAAATATAGTGTGAATTAAATCAAAAAAAATGACTGTGAATTACATAATTGGCTATTGTAAAGCCAGACGGGAACATTGTAATCCCATGATCTGTGTGATACAGGCTAAGGACCTTCACCCAGTGCGCTCTGCCTCTTACCAACCATTTGCAGCAGCACAGTTTGTCTTCTGAGTGGAGTTCAGCGCTATCAGAGCTGTCTGTATAAATAAAACTTCAATGACTGGTATGACACACCATAGATGTAAATAAGTTCAACTGAGGCTCAACTCATTAGACTGTTTATGACTTATCATTCCCACTGGTGTTATTTAGTCCAGGTTTAAGTGATTAAGTGGTGGTGGGCTTGTTTCTGTCCATTATTATACTACCATTAAACCAATAATACAACCAGTTACATTTCTGTAAAACCAGAACAATAAGACTGGAGATTTAGACTGTCTCTGTAGTGTATCTGAGCATACAGAAATTAACCTTTGGCTGGATAAGCTAAAGCCATTGTTTAAGTCTACCCATCAGAAAAGCAAGAAAGCTCTGCCTGTGATTTTTCATGTTTATCCAATTTTGTGTTGACTTGGCACTGTTTTACTGCCATTGACTGCATCCCTCTCTGCATTGTTTAGAGTACACACAGTCTCCATGACACTCTTCCAGTCTTACATTCCCCAAATGCCTGCACAAAAAAGAAGAGATTAAGAATGGTAGGAAGAAAGTGCACAATACTCACCTTTCATGTGAACCCCTTAAAATGTTTCTGTTCACTTACTGTTGTTTCACTGACAGCTCCATCGGAATAAGTTTGGGGAAGTGAATTGGGTAGCAATGGTCTGGCAGCTCTTTTACTACTAACTATTTCAAAATTGTATCTTGATGAAATATGCTGGCAACTGTGTGTACATGACCTCTGTTTTTGCTACAGCAAAAAGCTGGTGGCAGCCTATGAACCATTGTTCTTTTTATTTAAAATAAGCCTTTCAATCTCAGAGCCAAAAAATGCTTTTAGGGAAAGCTTTGAAAAATCATAAAAGAAGTTCAACAGCTTACAAGATTTTTCCATTGCCCAACTACTCATAAAGTAGAATAGAAG